AAGGAAAAATACAAAGATAGTCAAAAAATTCATCTACGAAACAATAGTTATGTATAACTGATTGAAGAACCATGTTAGCTTCATAATTTTCAGATGCGACCTGATGTTAAACTATTAACTTTTTATGTGTAAATGAATACAGCCAATGTAGAATCAATGTTTCAGATATGATATGCATAAAATCATATCTTAAAGTTCTGGAACATGGAACATGCAAGCGTGTACCTAATGCATATCCACTAAGGGCCTGTTTGATGATTTCCTAGAATCAAAGGAAAAGAAAATAGTAGAAGGAAATCATCATAAAGTTAATTTCCACCTATTTCCTCAAAAAAAAAAAAAAAAGGAGGAGGGTCATAAATGAGTTTCCTTAAATATAGGTCACGTCATCCAATAACATGGTGATAACTCATCTCATCACTTCTATGTTCTTAGTTTTACGAAGCGAACCAAACAAAAGAAAAGTCATGAAATAAGTTTCCTTGCTTTTTAGCCAACCAAACAGCCCCTCAGCACGGATACGAACTTCATATGGATTTCTTGTCCATTCAAGTACAAATGCTTTATAGAAGTGAATTTAGCAACATCAATACCTCACACTTAGGAGTATGCACTATTATAAATTACGACAAATAGCACCGCAATTGCGGCGCTAATTACAATTGCGGGCTCCTTCATAACAATTTCTGTCAATTGCACTGCCTCCCGCCCGAAAACCCTAACCGCTTTAACTCCAAATCATTGTCGAACGTCTGCAACTCCACCAACAACTCCTCAACTTCAGTTAAAAGTCCATCAGCTACTCAACTCCTCATCGCCGCCTCTACCACCTTTAGATTTGACGCCAGCAAGAGCAACATCAAACATGTGATTTTTTGCTTTTTTCTTTCATTTTTATTGATTTATCTGATTATATAAATTGATGGGTAGTTAGTTATTTTTAGATTATTCTTTAATTTTTCTTATTTTTTAAATATTTATATATATTTAAATTGGACAGCTAGTTGACTTTGCGTTTTTTCACTATTTTGCTGCTATAGCCCCAAATAGCCTGTTGTACTTCACTGCTACGCTACGCTATCCGCTATTGATAATCTTGAAAGCCTTTTTTGGTGTTCCCAATCCTTTTTTCATAGTTCAATTCAAGTTCTCAAATACCGGCTACAGAAAAATATTAGTTTATACAATATACCTTGATGGTTCCATTTTGAGGTAGATGATAGACCTCCTCACAAGTGATACAATACAACCTTGTTGGTTGACTGGATATGTATTTCATGTACCGTGTACATTTACCGCATTTGCTAAGTAGACGTCCAGAATCTGCTAAAGGCGAAATTGTGCTTCAAAAAGCGCATCCATGTTTTCAATCTGCAACCCAAGGGAAAGTATGCACAATGATCATAATGTTATTGAATTTTATCCATGGATAAAAAGAGCATGAAAGAAGTGAACTATGTCAATTGGAAGGTTGGCTGATGCTCTAACACATCAATACTAAGATTGTACATGTTACATAGTAACCGATATAAATACCTTTGTCACTTGTTTTTATAAGGTCAATAGTGAACAAGTCACTCAACTCGCATGTTATTGACCTGCGTAAATGTGCCCTTAAAGGGCACACACACTAACTAATTCACATACACAATGCACACTAACAAAGCAATGTCAAACATGGCACACTCAAAGTCCATCACTACTCTCTCCCAATACAGCACTCTTAACAAGTTTCTTGCTGATCGGAAATAATTATGGCAGAGAAGCGATTTGGATTAGCTAAGCACATTACAGAGCCACAGTGAGGAAGAATCACTTAGCAACAAGCATGGTTGTCAGAGAATAGCAACAGGCAAATCCAGGCCCACACTAAAGGACAGGCAGACCATAGTCATTAGGTGCAAAACTGTAAGTACTAAACAAGATCATGTATAGCAGTTGCAATGACCATCTCGTTGGCAGGCTGCGGTCCACCAGATATGTTATACAGATCAAACTGGGCTGGGAGAGGAAAATAACTCCAAGGGACAAGGCTGATAATAGGGAATGAACCTTGGCAATCTGATGTAAAACGTGTCATGGAGGCGTTCATGAACCAACTACAATCGGCAGATGCCCAAACGGGGGCGTGGAATTTTGACTTGCAGATGGAGAAAGAGTTCTCCCAAACCATGTTTTTCAAGCCATGGTAAAATCAAACAAACTTATATATGAAAATCGTGTAAATTTTCGAGATGGAGTCACCAAACACCACCAAAGTTCGGTTTGCTGCCGTTTGTTTCACAAAATTCTCTGCCGAATTGAGAGATATCAGACTTTTTGTCCTTTTTTTTGCATATTTTTGTAATGATTTCGGAGTTACTTTTGATTAGGAAACGAATCCGGTTTGATCTCAAATTTGACCAATTGATTTCCTCAATCATAGGAAGTCTTTTTAAGTAGTTTTCATACTTTTCTGTTTTTCACAATTTTAGTCTTATTAGCAGTCTACTTTTTTTTCTATTCACGAAGAGGATTGTAAGCCCTAAAGTCATGGCTTTTGACTAATAAGATCCTCTTTATTTACTTCTTGCTTCGAGGTTGCTTCTTTATGGATTTGAAGATTTTTCTTTGTGGATTAGTAAAATGCCCTGTGGATTCTGGGGTTTTCACTTCTGTGTTGTGTCACAATCAGCCAAGTAGAAGAAAGTAGATGGAGAATAATAAGATTATAAGGATTTCTATTCTTCTCAACTTTCCAAACACCCAAAGTTTTTTGGTACTTATACCTCTTCTACCCAAGACCCTTTCTAACACCAAAAACTTATATCTGAAAAATTTATTACATCTTGTAAGTCGAATTCTCTTCGTAAGAAGTTTCACAAAATCTAGGTCAACAGGCTACATTACCTAAACACTGATATGTAACAAGGCACAACATGTTGCGTTGTGGCCGATCTTAAATGTACAAAAGACTACTTGTCTGACACACCTGTTGGTTATGCACACATCTTCAAATTAAAAGTTCTGTGCTACACAGGGTCATAGGAAATTCTTGACGCAACATGGAATTGTTTATAGCCAAACGCTTTTGCATCAACTTATGCCCGTATTCCTCTTAACACCAGTACCTAAACACCTAAGGTAAAATATGTTATTATACCTAGTTGAAGCTATTCCCATTCAAGCATAGATTCTCAAACACATGAAATGGAGAAATCATTAATATTCGTATGTACAAGCAGTCTATATAACAACAAAAAAGTCTATTAACAACAACAAACAATGCTTTATACCAAATTTTTGCGCGGTCAGCCTACATAAATACTAATTTTCTCTCGGTTCTATTTTGGATTTTATCTCCTATGTTAAGTTACTACCTATCATATCCTTCTTAATTGCCTTTTAATCAAGGGTCTGTCTATCATATCACTAACTATGTCAATATAGTTTACATCTGCTCTTGATCTTTTCATGAACATTGTAGTTAAGAAAGCTGATTCCTTGTGTTCTCCATCTGCTGTCATCTGTCGGCATCATTACCCACTACAATGTGGTTTTAATACCTATATCATACTATATCAGGTAAGTTGCAAAATTAAAATGTTGTATCCAACAGTGTGTTCGGGTTTAATACCCGTATTTTAAAAGTGTAACATGTATTATTTAAAAACCATATCAATAAATGTACACAATACACAGTAATTTACTTAAACCGATAACTGAAAGTTCAAGTTGATTGCATTTGAATTTTCAAGTCTGCAATATTTAAAATTTACGTTCATTCTCCACAGTAATTGGCACAGTTCTGGAGATATCACTTCCTTTTCAGTCAATTTTCATGAGGGAACTTCTTTTTTCCAGTAGGTGCATAGTTTCAATATGTTGTCACTTAGACCTTTGCTGATATATTTCAACTCCAGAACATCCTCAAAGTGCATTACCATGAATCTTTATCGCTAGAAGGTTTAAAAATAGAGATTACAAAAGCGAGTAATCCATTTGACTATATATCATACCGTATACATGGTGACCTGAATAAGTTATCAGTAACAAAATAAGAGCATTTAAGTGACAATCCCTAAAAAATCTGTCAAAAGAAATATGGAAGAGAACCTTTGATAATGATCAATTCTTAGCAAATGAGATGGATTTTCTTCAGAATCACAACAATGACTACGAGTTGTCATTCTAGTTTCTTATTCTTGACAGAGAATAAAAAAACAAGACATGAAGGGGGACTGAGGTATATAAAGACTATAGCTAGGTTGATAGGCCAAACAGCTTAAGAATGCTGAAAAAAAAATTCAATTAACTATCCAGATTACTGTCTAATGTAGATAAAATAGTGTACTAGATGCCTTTTAAGCATACCAAACAATTGAGTGACAAAAAGATGGGAAAATGATGGTATAGTAGTTTACTATTTTCAAGTTCTCAAATACCGGCTACAGAAAAATATTAGTTTATACAATATACCTTGATGGTTCCATTTTGAGGTAGATGATAGACCTCCTCACAAGTGATACAATACAACCTTGTTGGTTACTGGATAATGTATTTCATGTACCGTGTACATTTACCGCATTTGCTAAGTAGACCGTCCAGTCTTAAAGGCCGAAATAATGTGCTCAAAAAGCGCATCCATGTTTTCAATCTGCAACCCAGCGGAAAGTATGCACAATGATCATAATGGGTTATTGAATTTATCCATGGATAAAAAGAGCATGAAAGAAGTGAACTATGTCAATTGGAAGGTAGGCTGATGCTCTAACACATCAATACTAAGATTGTCACATGTTACATAGTAACCGATATAAATACCTTTGTCACTTGTTTTATTAAGGTCAATAGTGAACAAGTCACTCAACTCGCATAGTTTATTTGACCTGCGTAAATGTCCCTTAAGGGCACACCACATAACTAAAAAATTTCAAGATACACAATGCACACTAACAAAGCAATGTCCAGGTTAACAAAATAAGAGCATTTAAGTGAACTGTTGAAGAAGTGTAGCATACCTGCTTAACAAAATAAGAGTATTTCTGAGTAAACTGTTGAAGAACATGTTGCACAACACGAACATGATCTGCTTGACCTTTAGCAATCAGTGTGATTTGCTGCTCTATAAAGCTACGAATGTCTGGCAAGCAAAGGTCTGGATCAATGCATTGGTACCCTCTTATCAAAGTGGTTCCAAGGACAGTGGGAACCAGTCTCCTTCCAGAGTTGACCTTCAAATAAAACAAGAACGAAAATTCATGTCCAGGAAGGAATCACAAATTTTAGATATTGCTAATACACACATGAGGCTGTGTGTACTCAGCAACAGTAATTTGTATCAGTGGCGGAGCCAGAAAATTTGGGAAGGGGGGGTCCAAAATAACTAATAATAAGATCATATATAATTTCTTTTTCATGATTGATTATTCTATAAACATAACCGCATAACAAGACTTTCAAATAAAGCATAAAATGATAATAGCATTTACAATACTAGTTTTTAGAAATTTAAATTTTTATATTTGAATTTTATTTTTCTTATGATATTAAATTTGATTTTATCCATTAGTTAGATTTATGGAGTTAAACTGTCTGATATTCCAATGTTTAACTAAGAAAAAGTAGTAATGTACGGCTTTAAAAAACAATAGCATATTAATGATAAGAAAAGAAAAAGGAGGGTATATAAAATGCAAAGTCATGTAAACAATTCGGCATTTAAGGGCTGTTTGGTTCAAAAAAATAAAAGCATGAAATCTCAGCCATTGCCACATAGACTTTGATGTTTGCACTTTACTTTTTCCTACGTTGTTTCGCTCATGGTTTAAAGGGATGGGGCAAGAAAACCCCAGCCATGCCACTTCCTCAGAAACCCCATTTCCAAACAAAATGCTCGGATCCAGGGAAACCAAATGTTATGGCTTAAAAAATGGCACACTTCCCCATTGTTCAAGCAAAACCCCCATTTCCTATATTTGACTTCCTACTTTATGTTGTGAAACAAATAACAGATCAATTGGAATATCCATTTCCGTTCTTTTATGGGCAAACCAAACATGGGACTAGCATTTCAGGAAACCCTAGAAAACTCATGAAAAGGGTTTTTCTCTCTGACTTTATATTTCCTATAATTGTGGGAAACCAATCAATCAAGCCCTAAATGTTAAGAAAAAACAAGGCAGGGTATGCAAATGCAAGTCATTAAAACCATAGTATAGGGTATTTAAATCCTATTTAGCCAAGAAAATTGAAAAAAAATCCCAAACCTAAGCCTTTATTCCAATGGGTTGTTTTTGGCCCCAGGTGCTCCCCATATATACTTTTTCTCATCTATTAAAGACAAAACCCATTTAAGTATTTTCCCAAAACACCACACACAAAAAGCAGAAATAATATTCATCATCCTTTTTCCTCTCTTTGTTTCCAGGAAACCCGTCAAGCAATCCTTTGATTTCTTCTCAGAATAAAGTCCGATTCAATATCTAAATTTTAAAGTTTTCTTTCGCAGTCATTTAAGGGAACATGTTCTTATTTTATCTGTCAAATAAGTTATTGTGATCAACCTCCCCACCCGCATTCACTCCATAAATTCTTTTCTTTTCTTTTTCGTTTTTAACTTTTTTTTCTTCTTTTTACTTGGGTTGGGGGGGGGGGGCGCAGGAGCGGGGACGGGGCCATGGCCTCTTTGGCCCCTATATAGATCCACCCCTGACTTCTATGGACGTACAAGGGCAGAGTGGATTAAACCACACGAAAAGAGGAATGCAGTGGAATAAACCACATGAAAAGAGGAAAGAAAGTTAGGACAACCTGCACATAGTTACGCTCGCATATGTTGTTTATATGTACAGAAATTGAAGCATCCGTTCCTATTCCATGCTTTTCCATTAGAGATATCAGCTCACTCTCGCTGAGGTAATCTGGAGGCGAGGTGCTACCCTAAAAAATATAATGAAAATAAAATGGTTATTAGAATTGAATACAAACAAATTCTGGAAGCCACATACATAAAGGTAATATTCGCGTATATTACAAAGATGCTTGTCTAAGCCTAAGAAACCAAACATTTAATGAAAAATAAAGTTCACCTCATATAGCTCAACTTTCGCAATGTTTATTCTCTCTCCCTTTGT